TATAGTTTGATAGTTTGGTTTGCAACAGACACGCACTGTACCTACACGCCTACACAACAAACTGCCCGTCCACGCACTTTCCTATGACAAAGGCGAGTCGGACGCCGTGTATGTCACGTAATAAATATAAATATATATATATATATATATATAAGCGTATAGTTTGGTTTGCAACAGACACGCACTGTACCTACACGCCTACACAACAAACTGCCCGTCCACGCACTTTCCTATGACAGGCAGAGAAAGGCGAGTCGAGCATACAAATGCGGCGAAAGACTCACCGGAGGAAAACGGGGCGAGGACCTCCTGCCGCTTCTCCATCGCTCCTCGCGTCCTTCTTGCGCGTATCCTCGTCTATCCTCGCGTTCTCGCTCTTCTTCGACGACCGTACGCAGACTGCAAACAGTCGAAAAAAAGTTTCACCTGAGGAGGAGAGCGACGTTTGCGAAATCGGAGCGCTCTTTCGCGGAGCGCCGTCGTCTCGGGCGGCGATTTTCACCGCGTGTGTACACACGCGGATGCGAATTCTTGGCGCGCGTATATATACGAGATTCAAAATCGCGAGAGGAGAAGGAAAAGCCGAATAATCGCGCGCGCGCGCGCGGACGCGAAATCGAGACGACGGAATCGGCGTCGAGGAGAGTGCGCTTTGTACTCGCGCACTTTGTTGCCGCGTTGTTGAGGAGGGCGCCGTCGTATTGACAGGTGGATCGCGTGAAAGATACGTACCCAGATAGGTGCGATTCTATCCCGCCATTTAGCTTCGTCGCGCACGTTTCACGGCCGTTATTATTTCGTCTCGTCCGATACGGCGGGATTCGGTTCAATAGCACGGGTTGATAACGCAGTCTCGCATCGTCTCGCAGGCCCACCGTCAACGACACGATCAAGGCACGTCGACCATTTTGTACTGGTCGCAGTGCCGTATTAGTTTATTATGTACGCCATTCTGGAGTCTATAAGAGGTGCCCCTCTTAAAAAAAAAAATTTCCAGCATCGCAAAATTATTCAAAGTTATTTATATGGAAAGCGCTTTTATGTTATTACCTGCAGAAGAAGATTGCATAAATGATGGTAGACATAGAAAAGAATTTAGTCTTATGGCTGACTGTTCATCTTTATTTGCGATTTTTTGTTTCTTTTCTCCTTTTATTCCTCTCGTTGCTCATTTGAATATTGGTGCATACACCGATTTGTTGTAAATGTAGAAAATGCGAGGGCGGACTCGTTAATTAAACTTGGCCAAGGTTTACCTAATCATCTGTCTTGGTTTGATTTTTCTGTAAAAAAAAAAAAAAGAACGGAATTAGGCGAATAAAGAAAGTGCGCAATGTGTGTACGAAAAAAGTAAGCTTTGTATTCTTTAAAATAAGAGAAATAAAAATAAAGTAAGTTACGAGTATACAGTTTCGTCTCTTTAGCCTTCTTTGAACAGTTGACTACTGGAATGCTCTAGAAATGCATTCGAAAATCTAAGCGTCAGAGTAGAGCGGTATTCGGTTAACCAATCAGGACAAAAGAAATTTCTGCGTTCTGATTGGTCAATCGAACGCCATTTTCCAGGTAGATTTTCGAACGCAACCTGGATGAATTGTCATGTCAGTCAGAGTACCGATAGATGTCAATACGAAGAACTGTCAGAATTTGTCAAACGTTATCACGCTTGTTCATTTTAATCGTATACGTATATAACGATTTAAATCGTGAAACGTGAAACCACGCGCGATAAGCCAGCCTCCGCGAATGCATTCGTTGAGCGATTACTAAATACAGATTTGTTCGTTCACGCTTTATCTCGTGATGAATCGGCATAACCTTCGCGCGTATATACGATTCTAATTACTCGAATTAATTGAAGCGTTTCACTGTTGTGAGATTTTTTTGCGACTGAATAATACTATCGCAGTACTATGAAGTTACACGATGGAGCTCTCCGAATCACGTAATCTCGTTAAGGATTTAGATTTAACCCTTCAACCGCGAATCGCCCCGCGGTATAAGATCTGGCTTCCCCTCGCCACACAACAGGTGAGTTACAATAATTAAAAATTGACATCAATAAAGATACAATATTTTTTACACAAGACACAAACGCTATTGTTTTTTATATGCTGTGTAATTTTTCAGTTACGGCTCAGAAGTTTAATACAAATAATAGGCCATAATCTAAAAGCCAACGTAAATGGAGAAGTATGTTGGTTCTATTACACGTTGCATAAATCAAGCATGTCGTCTCCGTTGTATACGAGCGAGGCGATTGACAATGCCAATCCAAGATGGTTGAGTCTTGAAGTGCCCACTCTGCACGCCACAGGTTATTCAACAGCCAGTGGTGAGCGTTACTGTCTGTTAGTACTAAGTTATAAATGTTTTGTTTCTTGGTATAAGTATGCGTATATTATTTTTCATTGCATCTTTAATGTGTCTCACTGTTAGCTTACGTGATTCACATAAGAAATAAAGAAATAATTGTATTCATGAACAGAGATTATCCTAAGGATCTGGAGGCGTTCAATGCGAGGTGACAATACAACTGATGTAACCCTCTTCACCTGGGCGATATCTTTCACAGGATTAATGTACATCGGTCCTAAACTTCCAACTAATTTAGAGACCATCCTGAAAGAAAACTCTTTGATATTCCATTTTCAAGGTGGATACTTCACTCCTGCATACTGCTTTGTAACAAATCCGAACTTGAATCGATATCTTTACATGAAAATAAATATATCTGAAGTTAAGAGTAGTTATACTGTAAATAAGCTTAGTAGTTTAAGAAGTAAAATGCAGGCACTAAAACAACAAACAGAGTCAGTGCAAGCACTCAGAGTACGCATTGCTTCGGGTGATGATTTTCATACTCCCAAATATCCACAAACAACTTTGAATAGACTATTGCAACCACGAAGAGTGAACAGGGAAAAGAAAATGGAAATTATGAAAATACGTAAAGAGCTAGAAATGGCTAAATTTAGAACGAAATTGTTAGAACAAGAGAGAGCGCGGAAAATGGCAGAAATTCGTGTATTAAATCAATTACACACTAATATTGTAGAAGAAAATCAAGATCATGGTAGTAGTGAATGAATATGAATAAAATATCTGATATATGTCTGAAAAAATATAGAAAAGGTAATAAAAAGACTTATTTTCCAGGTTCTGATTTGATGGAAAGATATAGAGAGCTGAATAAAGACATGGAGAGACTGAATGAATGGCGACAAAATCACATGGATACAAGGGAAACGTACCTGCAAATGAGCAGCCAATTAGCGCAAAGGCGACGGCAATTAATTTCAGAATTGAGTTTAATATATTCGATTAGACAGGTATAGCAACCTCCAAAAAAAATATAAAATATTAGAATATATATCGAATGACTAACACTTTTCTTGATTTCATAGGATAATATTGGAAAATTCAAAATAAACGATGTTTATTTACCAGACAGCGAAGAATTAGAGTTATCAAATGACACACAAGTAGCTGTTGCATTAGGCTTCGTCGCGCATACAACGCAGATGATTGCAAATTTTCTGAATGTACCGACCAGATATCCTATCATACATTATGGCTCGCGCAGTAAAGTTATAGATCACATTACAGAAAGTTTACCCGACAACGACAGACAGTAAGCATATTTCGAAATTATCTTTATTCGCAAGTGTAACAAAAATTTATACTATGTATATATCGCTCATATATTTTCAGATTTCCACTGTTTGCTCGAAGTAAGGACAAATTGCAATTTCATTATGCTGTATATCTGTTGAATAAAAATATCGCACAACTTCGATGGTATTGCGGCCTTCCTACCACCGATTTAAGAGCGACTCTACCAAATCTTGCTATGCTAATTAACATAAAACCCAATCAGATGCAGTATGTATATTTTATAGTGTAGTAAATTATCGAGCACATATTGTCTGATATATGTTCATATTTTTATTGTTTTTTGCCACATTTTTTAAATGTTATTTCATGTATAGCTTGGATGATTCAAAACGAACATTTTCTACCTCATCTTTGGACACTGAAGGTGGTAATGGTAAACAAAATCCTCCTCTCACACCACCACTCCAAAAAATAATTTTTGAGAAATGTCACCGTTCTTCTCGATCGATGAGTCAGTTGAAGAATATCAAGTCGTCGCTTGGATCCTCTTTGGATCAGGGTCTGGACAAACCTGTGCAATCATCTGCCTTGGATAAGCAATCAAAGCGTATTTGTAAATCAGAAGAGAGTGCCATTGACAATAAAACTTTGGTACTGGCTAAAGACAGGTCGAGTAATAGCAGTAATGAGACGTTAAACGGTGCCATTTTGAATAATATCGATAATATAACTCTTAAAGATAAAGATAATTTTGTCGAGATTAGCAATAAGGTTGTTATTGAGAGTAATATCGAAATCATGATACCTACGTCGGTTTCTAAAGTAAGAAATGTCGCGGATAGTTTGGAAAGTTCCGCAAGTGCTCGAGATAGAAGCTCCAATTCTATAAGTAGCTGTGAAATGGCTCTCAGTAGTAGTCAAAATGACGTGGATGATAATTGTAATGATAATCATGCTAGAAAAGAGAGAATCGACGATAATGTGTTCCCGATTGATGACAGTTTGAGAAATGTCAAAGATGCGATAGATAGTGTGTTGAGGAACGGCGAACACACTAAAGTATATAATTCCAAAAACGACGTTCCACAAAATTATGACACAAGTAGTAGTACAATTATGAGCGAACAAAATAGTACTCAAAGCTCGCTTATGGAAACTGCCATTTATAGTAGAGAAGGTTTTGCCAAATCGTGCTTATCTTTGGATAACATGTGTACTTATGAACAATCGGAACAAAAACAGAGAACAAATTCCATTTGCAGTTATCCAGAAGAATATACAAGAAATGCTGCATTACAACAAAAACATTGCTTTGATTCAACGTAAGTAGATATAATCTACTTATATTTTCTTGTGTATGTATGTATGTGTGTGTGTGTGTGTGTGTGTAAATTAATAATTTTTTACACGTATATATATATATGTATATATATACATAATGGCTTCTTTTAGAGAGGATAGACCGAGTTATCCTCATGTTGAGAAATGGCCTGAAAATATTGTAAAAACCGAACTAATGGTAAACTTTGATCAATGCCTTCTCACATTTCTAATAATTTTATAAAGTATTTAAGTCATAGTATCTATTTCATATCTCTAGGTGGATACGAGATCGATTTTAAATACATCAAAATCAGACTGCTATTCGTACGACGAAGTAAAAACACCATGTGACATTCAAGCGTCGAGTGAGTATATAGACATCATTAGGCGTAGTTCGGAAAACGTGTGTGCGCGCACCGAAGCTTTAGCTAACAAGAAAACTAGTTTCAAAGTTATGAAACCGCGTCTTTAATATCTTTGCCTATGTCACAAAATTGTGCCCTAATAATGATATATATAAGCACCAAAAAGTCATAAGAAGACACGATTAGTTTATGTGTCGGAGTTACATGTGGCATCTCTTTTTTATGTACATTGTATATAATATGATAAAAATTTTATTTAAAGTTGAGTTTTTTGAATTTTTGAATTGGAATTATGAAATATATATAAAATATATAAAAAATATTATTTTTAAAGTAATTTAATTAAATTTTCGTTGTATTATAAATAATTTTATTTCATTTATAAAAAAATATTTGTTTCTCCGTTTCTGTTAAAAAAAAAAATAAAATAAAATGTTTATAATAAATTATTTATAAATCTTACAATGTGCAAAAATGTGAAAAGGATTACTCGCACGTGTTTTGCGTGTGTGACAAATATAAACTAAATTTATATATAAAGAAAACTAAATGTTATGTTTATTCTACAAGTCTTCTTATATATTATTCTACTTATATCTTTTTTCTCTTTCCCGTTTATGTAAACAACTCGGAGAAATATTATCGGAAATGCGACAGAGTCATTATTGGATATAACAATACAGTATAAGATTACGGTCAGTAGAAGTGATAGTTTCTCTATGACTATGCATCTTTTTACATGTGATATACAAATATGAGGATGTTATCAGCTATATTATTTTATGTATTTGCATTGTCCACACTTGTGTTTTTTAGTGGAACAGTAATTTTAATCAATGTCTATATAAGTTGAAACTTTCTTAGTTTTGTTAGCAAGATGTATATAGGTATCAATACACTGTATTAAGTTGCAACTTTATTACTGTAATATATTACAAACGTTCATTGTTATTATCTCTGTACGAAGGTATTTTTATTAAACTGAGGTGATATATAATATATACACAAGGTTTGTACATATACATATAATAGATATTCTCTAGATTTTTTCACTGTACTTAGGTCATGTAATTGATTAATATATTTAGTTTATGTTTATGATACAAGTGGTTGAATGCATCAATATAGGTGATTATATTTTTGCCATTGAGAATGTCAAACGTAAACTTATGTACGAGGACCAAGTAAAGTACATAAAATCATATAATTGCTTAGCGAAACGATCATATAATTAATTTGTAACCTAATTAGATAAACGAAAAAAGCAATCTGAAAGAATAGCAAAACGATTTTCTTGTGAAATTCGTTAATAACCAATTACCGCAATGTGATAAATAAAGAGATTGTATATTCAAAGAGATAAAGGAGGAAAATTTATATCTTATCCAGCATGTTTTTAGATTTCCCTCATTTTACAATAAGCAGGTATACGTGTTATCTCGGTCTTAAAATGAAATTTTAATTTAACTTTTAAAAAATTTAAGATCTATCTGTTCATTTTTTTAAAATACATTTTATGAAACATGTTAGTAATATTTTGCAATAAATATTTTTATATTTGTTCAGACATGAATATAAGTAAAGATTACAGCAAATATAAAATTGCATATTTTTCTATTTGTGTTACAAATGAAACATATTATTGCGCTGATAACGTTTTTTATTTTTTATGCACGTTATATATTTTTTTGCATTACCTTTGATAAATTGCAAAGTTTTTTCGATGGAAGAAGGGGTTCTAAATATCGCTGTTGATTTTTCATATTGCTCAAACCAATTCTACTGATGGTATCTTTGTACTCTGAACAGCCTGCAAATGGCTCATCCCAGAAGGAGCAAATTTCTGAAACTGCGATTAATTCAGTTAGAAATAATAAGTAACGTACAAAACAAGATACACTTCGCTGCTTGAAATTTTTACGCAAATTTTGCTTTTATATACTCATTATATAATATTTTCTATACGTTTAATTACTCTAATTACCTTTTTCTATCGTCTTGGCTGGTTGAATCGTCGAGCTGTCCATAGCCGAATATCTGAATCTGATCGGATCTTTATAAGCATCCTTTAAATCGACGATTATCGGCGTAATCGGTGCATCCACCGCTGCCATTAATGGCCTGTATTCCGTAACGGGCAGATCTAGTAAGATGATAAAAATGATGGAGATTTTTTATATATATATCAGACTTATTCCAATACAATTTTCGTAACGGGCAGATCTAGTAAGATGATAAAAATGATGGAGATTTTTTATATATATATATCAGATTTATTCCAATACAATTTTTAAACAAGTATTAAGCCAACTTACTTCTCTTTTCGTAATCCGTTTTGTAAATGCTTTTCATCGTTTCGTCCATATCGCGAGTACTATCTAACATCGATGACGTGAGCTGTACCATTTCACGATCGACTTTTATTAACTCGTCGCGAAGCCGACGTTCTTTGTTGGCCAACTGCTTGTACCTTTAAAAGAAAATAAGAACGATTTTAAAACGTTTTGATACGGAGAAATATTTTTATATTTGAACTGAGATTATCATAAATATACCTTGATAGAAAAATTGAAATTTACCTGGCTTTTTTATTTTTCAAACTGTGAGCGTCGCATCTACAATCTTCCGGATCGGGTCTGGGAAAATACAATTGAGTATCCATCGGGGGTGGCGGCGGCCCGAGACGTTTTGCATGGGACCAATTGAAATCTTGTTTTGTTATGCTAAGAAAAGTTTCTGGCGCGTTCGACATTTTGCATCAGAGCTCGATTTCGCGACGGTTTCCTTAAGATTTAAATTGTAAGGCCTGCACACCGGGAATTTTCGGAGTGGAAAACATCGAGACTAGGCGAGACAAGACAGGGGTGAATCCATGCGAAGTAAAGTGTTAGCGGCACCTCGCGAAAGATTAAATTTCGATATTCCTCGGAATAGCCAGACAACGCATCCTTTCACCAACACGATCGACGTGATGGTCGCTCTATAGAGCGCATAGTGCATTTAATAAATGCAATTATAATGTGGGCGAGGAACGACTCGGCTGTTTTTTTCATTCATCTTATATAAACATACGTGAATTTTGATTATCTCTCGCGTTGTATGAAATTTAGTTCTCTCAAGATCGGCCAGTTGGATAATCTCGGTCAATTCGATTACATTAATGGGTACATACATATTTCTGCATAAATAATTACGTATTAAATTTTGATCACAGATCGAAATACGCGATGACAGATATTCAGATATGATCTGAAGTAGTCGATATATTTTTTTTTCACAAATAAAATTTGAATGTCAAAATGCAAATTAGTTCTCTCAAGATCGGCCAGTTGGATAATCTCGGTCAATTCGATTACATTAATGGGTACATACATATTTCTGCATAAATAATTACGTATTAAATTTTGATCACAGATCGAAATACGCGATGACAGATATTCAGATATGATCTGAAGTAGTCGATATTTTTTTTTTTTTTCACAAATAAAATTTGAATGTCAAAATGCAAATGTTTTCTTCCTTTCTACTCTTTTCTACAATTTTATCTCTCTTTTTATTTATTCCTTTAATAATTCCTTTTTTTTTCAACACAAAATATTTTTTGTGCATTTGAGAGACAGACGAATTATTAATACGAAACTTTTAGCTTTTTACATCGTTTTATTCAGATTGACAACTAATTGCAATTTTCTTTTTAATCGGATATACAGCGTTGATACTGCAGTGGGAAAGTTTTCTTCTTCGCGTGATGTAATTTAACTCGCATAATGGCGTTGCCGATTTTGCTAATGCTGTCTTGGTACTCGGTCTTCCAGGATGGCAACGACGTCTGTATTTTGCTGCCAATCTCGCATCTCTTTCCGCGTTTGGATCCATTCTTCCGCTTGTAATCATGCCTTAAGTTTGCGTTTACTCTCGAAGAAGAGGGTTGACAATGCGGCGGGCAATCAGTCTCTATCGTTATCTTTATTGGCATACGACATTGCAGTTGCTGATCGCCCGTATGTATGATCGCCCGTGATAGGTCACGTTGTGTCATACGTGCAGCTGCTAAAAAGAAATGTAAATTCGTCCAAGTAAAAAAAAAGACCACAACACGCAATATCGATAAACGTGCGTAATCTCCGCAATATTTTTCAGATATTTTTGTCACGCTCACCGGGATCACTATAATGCGCTTGATACGTCGTTTTGAAACGGTCAGCATCCGTTCGCGCCGTTCTTTCGTCCGAACACATCTTCTCTAACAATCCATTTAGATCGGGACATTCTTTCTCGAGCTTTACAAATTGAATTCGGAATTTAATCATATTATTTTTTGTATCTAAATTCTACATATTTTATGTACTAATTTTTTTTTTTTAATATAATAAATTATATTACGTATAAAATTCTGAAAAAATAAAATTTAGAGTATTTACTTTTCTCACGCAAATATCAGACGGCCGATCGAATTGTATTGCGTGCAAAATGGGTCTAGTCTTGGAACAAATCTTAGGTTTTGACAACTGTCTCGTCTGAGTCCGATCGAGACTCGCATCCAGGAGCTCTTTAAGCACTCGCGGTGAATCGGTACAAGCGCAAACTTTAACTGGCTTGGGTGGCAGTTCAGTTTGACATATACCTAGCACGTGAGGCCAGGTATAGTCCTTCTGATAAATCGAAACAAAGTGATTTTTCTGATTCATTATTTAATTTTTTTATTTCTGGATGACAAACAGAAGGGAATTTTATCAAGATTTTTTTTTAGAGGTCTCTCATCGCTGTTACACACTTTCCTGATCCTTGTCCGGCATCATCGGCAATTAAATATTAATATTAATTTTTATTAAACATAAATATAAATATAATTAACAAATTTGCCAATTTTCCTTTACCTGCCAACACGTTACCCATATTTTGCAGCGATAGAGATTATCTTTCTTTAAATTTCCATTATATCAATTTTAAAATATTTATGCGTTTCTTATTAATTGTTGCCATAATAAATTTTTTAAACAATTATTTTACACTTGTACGTTTACATCTTTGTACCACAAAATTTTGTATATCTTTGACCCAAATTTCGGTTAGACAGTTTAACCTTAATCGATCGTCAATTTGTTAAAAAAACGCTTTTCAAATTTTTGCATCTTTAATTATCACAAAAAATATAATTGATAAAAAATATTAATGAGAAAAATCGATCGTTAATTCGATTCGATTCTCCTCAATTCGCTATAATCAATGATAAAACGATTTTGATCGTAATAGTTGGCAGGATAAATAAGCTCCGTTCACAGTAAATATTCGGGAGTATTACTGTTCGAATTCGTCCGTATTATTACAAACAAAGGCGCAAAGTAGCAATAAAAGACGGCATCGCAAACTGGAAATTATTGTGTTTGGCACGGTGCCGATTCGCAAAAAAACTTATTCATTTTCAAGTCAAACGGTTGTTATAATTAATATGAACCAGAAATAAATCTTAATTATTTTCAGCTTTCAATCTATCTCCTCTTCTCGTCTACATGTGTTAAAATCTCTGTTTACATATATTTATAAACGAAAAATCCTTACCGTATTATTCGCGCGACCAGACGATTTACATATCAAATACGATAATTGCTCCGATAATGATTGGGCTTGAAAATCGATTAAAGAACGAAAATCATCCATTCGATCCTCATCTGTACATGATGTTCTTTCTCATCGGTGTTTGGCATCGGTCCAGAGGCAACAGATAGTTCAATGTAGAGCTGACGAGATGACGACGAGCCCAGTGCTTCTCGGCCACCGCCGGCAAAGGACACGTTCGCTTTATTTAGAGATTATAGGTCGATTAAAAATTTGCAACGATTCCACTTCCGGAATCGCCTTGGAATTTGCCTTGTTGCCTCGCTCCATTTTTCCATTAGCACTCGAGAGAGAAATTAATTTACCTTCTCCATAAATCTTTGCTCATGAAATTTACAAACAATCTTGTGTCTAAAATAATTAATAACAAATTAAATTAGGTAATTAGCTCTGCAGGTTTCTGACGAGTTTTATTTATCTGTTGTTGCATTTTTCAAATAGCATTTTTAATTATTTCTAGCAAAAGATATTAAATATCCTCTTTTTTTTCCTCAGCAGTTAATAATACATATGAATCCATGCTGTGAACACATGAAAGACTGAGTCATCTGTATATCATTTTTTATGGTAAAACATAATTTAGTTTTACTTGTCTGAGTCATGTAAAGTGACGTTGTAAAAAAAAAAAACTGTGGTTTTCATTTTATCTTTGATTCTATTTCATGATTATGCTCGCAAATGTAAAACAAAAAATATATAGAGAATAAGATGAAAGATCGATATTTTAATGATTGTACCATAGTCGAATCTGCGGCTTCTGTTTTCACATCGTTTCAACTTTATAAAGTGCCCGAATATTTATCTATCGTAAAACTCGAATCGTCTCCTCATCATTTCATTACAATTTTTATGTCTAGAGATTCATTTCTAGACTCGCTCGTTTCTCTCTCTCTCTTCCTCTCTCCTCCGGCCTGAAATTATCTTCTCTTTTCAAATTAGACTTTTAATCGGCTAATCAATAGCTCGACAATAAGAGCTGATATTTCCGTCGGCATCACGCTTTGATCCTATCCCGCGAGATAGCAAAATCAAACAAGCGATTTTTAGAACGCTTCTAAATCCGAACCGAGTTTCCACCATAAGGTGTCTATCTTGTGTTGGACACCGCGTTTTGGATGAAATTAGTACTCGCATATGGTAGCAGTAATAGTATAGTAGTAGTAGTAGTAACAAAATATTAAAAGCACCATGCTCGCGGAAAGAGAGGACACGAAAGGGGTGGTCCGATTTAACCGGTATAAATCATCTCCGTCTCGCGCCTTCTCTCGTCAACTGGCACACGTTTTCAAAGGAAGGAAAGCTCGGAAACGGGCTGTACCCGATGGTCGCTCTAAAGATATCGCTGCGTCCACGCTGCCAGAAATAGAACCGTGACGTCGTCGCTCAACGTCGACGAAAGAAGAACGACGAAGTCGTCGTGCACACGCACAGCCGGCCTAGTAGGATTTACCTATGCGAGGCGCGATAGATCGACCCTTTGCAACGCGTCTCGTCAGCAACTCTATCATGCTTATTTCTCCTTTCTCACGGATTACAGGAAGCTAGATTCCTCGTAACACGATGTAAAATCATGGAGCCTACAAAGATAGAACGATATTCTAAATATTCCTCGATTAAACATATATCTTTTTTTAACAACGTTTCGTTTGTGCGAGAGATAAAACTCTTATATTCATTCTGAAAAAAAAATTTATCTTGAATCTCTTGAATTATTGTATTCTCTCTCTCTTCCTCTCTCCTCCGGCCTGAAATTATCTTCTCTTTTCAAATTAGACTTTTAATCGGCTAATCAATAGCTCGACAATAAGAGCTGATATTTCCGTCGGCATCACGCTTTGATCCTATCCCGCGAGATAGCAAAATCAAACAAGCGATTTTTAGAACGCTTCTAAATCCGAACCGAGTTTCCACCATAAGGTGTCTATCTTGTGTTGGACACCGCGTTTTGGATGAAATTAGTACTCGCATATGGTAGCAGTAATAGTATAGTAGTAGTAGTAGTAACAAAATATTAAAAGCACCATGCTCGCGGAAAGAGAGGACACGAAAGGGGTGGTCCGATTTAACCGGTATAAATCATCTCCGTCTCGCGCCTTCTCTCGTCAACTGGCACACGTTTTCAAAGGAAGGAAAGCTCGGAAACGGGCTGTACCCGATGGTCGCTCTAAAGATATCGCTGCGTCCACGCTGCCAGAAATAGAACCGTGACGTCGTCGCTCAACGTCGACGAAAGAAGAACGACGAAGTCGTCGTGCACACGCACAGCCGGCCTAGTAGGATTTACCTATGCGAGGCGCGATAGATCGACCCTTTGCAACGCGTCTCGTCAGCAACTCTATCATGCTTATTTCTCCTTTCTCACGGATTACAGGAAGCTAGATTCCTCGTAACACGATGTAAAATCATGGAGCCTACAAAGATAGAACGATATTCTAAATATTCCTCGATTAAACATATATCTTTTTTTAACAACGTTTCGTTTGTGCGAGAGATAAAACTCTTATACTGTTATTCATTCCGAAAAAAAAAAATTATCTTGAATCTCTTGAATTATTGTATTTATCGCCGTGTCTGTGGTTTCGAGACAGCTTGTCTGAATCCAGTTTTAATGTTATACGAATAATCGATGGACATAACGTACAAGGAACATGAACATGAATTTTCTACATTCATCTCGTTCTAATCTATCTGTCAGGCTAGAACAGGGAGATATTGAGGCTTTCGACTATCTATCGTCGAGGATCACTCCTAAAAATTCTGACGATGGAATTCTCTGGATGCAGAAGTGTTTTGCGAAATGTGGCATCGCTTATCGCGAGATAAAGGAACGATCAATTCAACAAAGAAAGAAAAAAAAAGACAAACGAAAGAAAAAGCGCGTCAGAGATTTACGATGCGTTTTGTCTGCCCTTTTCCCGCTTGGGTCCAAAAGATACGCGCGAGGAGACAAGAGGAATCGGAGAAAAGTCAGCGTCGTATGTTAAAAATCACCGACGCACGTGCTCTTGCGCCATAAATCTCGGCGCGGAGCAAATTATTGTTTCGAGCGAGTTAGCGCGAGATAGTGATCAACTCTGACCAGAAGCCGTTAACGTGATTTATAAGTCGCGTTCCTGAGCGTTCCGTTTTTTTTTTCTCGGTCAACCGCGAGATTCTCGCTACTTCAGAGAGATGAGAGGAGAAGGCGAAAAGAGAGAGAGAGAGGGAGAGGAAAAATCGTTGACAAAGAAGAGCCGAGCTGTATACAGAGCGTGTGTCGCGAACAAGCTAATGGGCCGAATTTAACGGCGCGTTGTATTAGTCGGAGACAAAGTCGTTATTATCTTGAGACACCGTCTAAAATTTCAGCTTTTGAGAAAAAAATATTCTTTGTATCCCTATGGATTTTCCGTAGTTGATGAGCTTTTATAACTACAGAGGTTTATCTGTCCCATAATCACCGTCGTTTCTTTCAATAAACACTTCGCTCAATTTATTTACGTTCTTTAAGTTGAAGAGTTAGAGTTTAAGCCAGCTATCTACTTGAGACTTCATTTCGATTTCGTAAATAATCGACTTGAGTCACTGCTGTTTCAAACACTTTACTTATCTTCACATATGTTTGTTGTTAATCCTGAAATTAAAATTTCCCTGATACAAAGTCCACCTTAAAGAAAAAGTAAAATAAAATTATATAAAAAGGAAAATTTTACTTTAAACTATTTGTGCAATATCTTGCCATCAAAATAAACAATCTTCTTCTTCTTCTTACTTTTGTCTGAAGTATCCTTGATTTCCGATATTATTTCGCGAAAGTTTCAAGACATTTTATACAAAATTCAAATTATATATCCATTTTTTTGTTCATTAAACGGCATTGTAAGAATTCAGCGTGAGACACGTTAAAAGGGGAATCAAAGTGCGTCGTGGCGTTTTCACCCCGAAACAGCACGGATAGTGACGTTTACACACGTGGTGGTTTTACGTCGACACGTGCGCGTTTATGCGCAGGTGTCCTATCCCATCGAATTTACGCCGCATTTATTCGCATTCTCGACGCGGCGTCCAATTAAACGTTTGATATAAGTCTTGCCGCGCGCAACGAACGATGTCAAAAATAATCCGCGAGAGTGGAGAGAACAAGAGAGAGAGAGAGAGAGAAAGAAAGAGAGAGAAAAGGACCTCGAACAATTCGCGGAATGGCGAGAAAATTCATTCGCGTACAAAGTGTAAAATTACCGTGGCGTAAAGTGTAAAGTAAAGCGCGATCATAAGCGAGGAGAGCTCTTTCTGTTGTACATAAAACGTCAGCCGAAAATCCCTCGCTCGCGACGATGTCCACGTATCGCCCGGACGATAAATAAGTCCTGGAGATTCAAGTTCCCCTCGTTGTTGGCGGGGCTAATAAGCTCGCACCGAGACGATCTCTCTTTGCACAGAGATAAACATTCCCCTCTCTTATTCTATCCCGCGAAAAATTATGTTTTGATAAATATATGACGACAAAATGTAAAGAAGCCCTTATTACTGACGTATTATAAGCGATTTAGTTCGAGATAGATAGAGAGGGTTCTCGAAGATGGGAATTTCTCGGACACGCGTCGCGTAAAACTGAAAATTGCCGTCGTAAAGTTTCCGTGTCGCACTTAAAATGTCTCCGCTTGACACGAAACGTCAACTCGACGTTGTCATCCCTATAATCTCTCTCTATTAGATTAATAAATTTATACATGAGTTTAAATTGTCACAATATAAGATTAACTTTGTTAATAGATAATATGTATATTGATAATTTATTTTACGTTTATTTTTTCCACGATAATATAAAATTTGTATATATATTTGTATTTTTATAAAATACTCGTTAAATATGCCATCCTTTAATTATTACAATTATAAATAAAAGTGATCGTTTCTGTAAAAGTTGAGGAATCATAGATCCATTTCATTTCAGTATTCTTTTTTTTCGTTATTAATATAGGAACCCTGAATTGTCCCAAACTGCCGTTCGCGTTAAGGAAAGTATCTTAATAAAGTGTTAGTTTCTGCGCGCTATAAAGTGATGATTTTTAAACACAAGTGCGAGAAACGTTTCTTCCGAGAATACGAGACGCTCTGCGTTAGACATTTCTAAATTCTACTTGTCTTGCGCAATTTTCGTTATTTATCGGCGGAATAAAAAAGTGGACATTCTTTTTCTCGCGCTACAAGAACATTTGGAAAATCCGATGTCAGTAAAATGAAGTATCGCGTTCTTTGACTTTTTCAAAGAAGGGGTTGACGAACTTTGCGTCCGCTCGTGAAAGCTCATGGAATTTTCTGCAGCTTCGACGAAATACAGAAAAACGGCATGACAACAATGTAAAGCTTGTGTCAACCCGTTCTCGGGAATTGTCTGACTGTCCACGCTTTGTCTACTGACAGAGCTTCCGCGAAAGAATCTAAATCAGTTTACCTTTCGTGTGTATACATTAAGTCGAGAAAATAAAAACAAGGAAACTGCGAGAGAGTTTGCAGGAAAATTTAATCAACTATTAAAGAGAGAGAGAGAGATGTTGTAAAAAGCCAGAAACGTGTATCTGGTAGCACATCTATCTGATAAATATTTAGAAAATAAGGAAAACTAGAGATTATTTAAAGAATTCGGAATACTTTCAAGGTTGCTTGCTACGTTCGGAAAATATTCTCAATATAATGCAGTTTCTATCCGACAGTTAGATTATCTCAATGCAAAGATACGTACTCGTTTCTTTTTCTAAATTAATAAAATCACTGCATTAATATTTTCGCGTGATGATCGCACGCGAAGGTTGTTGTGTCTCACAAACACTGCCAAGAAATCTAGTGCCAGTTTTTGTACTAGTTTAAATGTGATGTGTAAAAAAAAAATGTCCCATCCAACAATAACGCACAGTAATAAAAAAATAATGTACACACAGAATATCTTGCAAAAATGTTATCACTTGGTTTGTATTTACGTAGATTAAATATATATGCATTTCTTAAGGTAGACCTTTAACGATTTTTTTTCGATTTTGTATTTTAGAAAAATTCCAGTGAATCTTTTGCAGTAGCCGCGATAATTTTGTAGTTAATTACGTGGATGCAGATTCACCTGTACATAATAAACATTTGTTTATTCTCGAATGCTCATAAATCTGATTCTAATTCATTATTCGCGTTATCCACGGCCTGGCACATATTATGGATATTCAGGAAGAATATTCCAACCGTGTTATAGAGACAACCTGCCGATAGATCGAATGTCACTTGAATGAACGTCACCACGTTGCGACGAATCAACAGACCTAGAAAACTACTCTCTCTTTCGATTTTCCAATAATTACACGATACTCCGATGTTCTCGTTCCGCAAAGTTTTTGCACGTCCTCATTCTATAGAGTTGCTGCAATTTCCATTTATATTTCGCATTGTTCAAAGGATGCTCAACAGTGCGATCGAAAACGCATAAAGCGGATGTACGCATGTATCTTTAGCTGTCGAGTTTTAATTGCCCAACGTGTATTTTCTCGATCGGATTTTTTAATGTGTAATATTTTTTAATGCATTTTCTAATGTGTAAAATTATTTCACGCCATTATCGATAACTTTAATCATCTTCCACTCTAAAGAACAATCTTTAAAACTCTAAAAATTCATAAAATTGCTCAGCAAATATTAGAGAATAATTTTTTTTTTTTTAAAAGAGTAATTTT